CCCCCCCGCCTTCACTCAGGAAGTCAATAGTGGCTGAGTGTCTACCTATTCTGTCTGGTCTGTTCTATTCAGAAAAGACTTTATAGAGGAAAAAAAAAATTCTGGAAAAGATACAGCTGTTAGGCCTGTCCTAGGGCCCTGGGCTCCCCCGCTGGGGCTGATGGCCCTTGGAGGGCGGGGCTGGTGGCCGGGCCTCAGGTGATGTGGATCCGGAAGCAGGAAGCAGTCTGAGCCCAAACCGGGGGAGTGAAGGAGCTTCCGGGAGACTAGTGGGGAGGCAGGTGGGGCCGTCTTGCTCAGGACTCCCAGGGAGGGAGGAGGATGGTGGTTGGGCTGGGGGCTGCCCAGGATGGGGCCAGGAGAAGAGTGGAAGAAAAGCTGGGCTTAGAATAGTGAGGGAGGTGATGCAGCACAATGGTGCTGGGCCTGGGGCAGGAGGAGGCAGGGCCTGTTCTGAGGTGGCCCTCTGGGGGCCCCGACAGGTGGCTCGGTCTGGGATGAGTCTGTCCATGGAGGAGCTGAAGGTAACAGCTCAGGAAGTGCTGGGGAGACTGAAGAGCCGCCACCTGTTCCAGTCTGAGTGGGACACTGCTGCCTTTGCGGTCCTTCTCACTTTTGTGGGTGAGTGTGGCCGCTGCCTCCTGCCTCCCCCGGCTTGCTGTCAGCCGTGCACGAAGCCACATCTGGACACCCATCCTGTCCACAGGCACTGTGTTGTTCTTGCTGCTGCTGGCCATTGCCCACTGCTGCTGCCACTGCTGCTGTGCTTCCCCCAAGCACCAGAAAGTGAAACGTGGGAAGGTGAGTGGGGAAGAGGATCCAAGGGGAGAGAGGCTCGTCCAGGGCCACAGGGCGGAAGTGGGGAGAGGCCAGCAGGGACCAAGGAGTGGCTCCCGCAGGCGACTCTGTACTTCTCTTTCAGGAAAGACTCAAGGGAGTGGATAACTTGGCCATGGAACCCTAATGTTAGTCCTCTGGCATGTGTCCTGGGGCCAAGAAATAAAGCTTGTCTGCCGAGCCTGAGCCTGGACTGTGTCTCTAGGCCCTGCGGGTGGGCAGCATGGAGACTCAATGCTCCACAGAGATGCCGAGTGTCGCCCTGGGTCACCAGCTTAGGGTCTCAGACACAGGGCCTGAGCTTTTGTCCCCATCCTTCCTGGCCCCGAGGCAGCCGGGGATCCTGTCTCAAAGGTAGGTTTGTGGGGACCCCAGGTCCTGGGAACAGGGGAGGCCACTGAAAAGCAGGGAAACCCAGCCTGGTCCAGACAGACACTCCAGGAAAAGTCTGATGATCTTTATTTTTTAGAGGCTGTGTGCTGAGGTTTCAGAAACGTCCTAGCTCTTCAGTGCATTGTCAGGGCAGCTCAGCAGAGGGCCCTATTCCTTCCCTCCCAACTCACAGCTGAGCCCCGCCCACACCTTCCCCCAGCAGGAGCAGAGCAGCAGCGCCCCCACCCCCCACCCTGGGGCAGCTGGAGAGGAAGAAAAGGCCTGACTTGGCCACCCCCAGTCCAAAGGTTCCTCGAGATGCCTGGGAGGGCAGGACTTGGGAGTGTGGCCACTCCTCGGCGCCACCTTCCTGACACAAAACCTCAACCAAATGCGAAACCAGCGAGTGTCCTTCCTCCTCCTCCTCCTGGGTCCAACCAGAGCAGCGCAAACGCGAACGTGTGGGACAGGGTGGGTGAGGGAGATAAATAACACTACGAGGGCTGTGTAGGCGGGGAAAGGGGTTCTGTGGGCAGATGCCACCCTCCCAGGGTGCAGGCTCCTGGGCACTTTGCTCAGAAGGGTCTGTAGCTCCAGTAGCTGGAGAACACGGAGATCTGCGGAGGAGGGGCACGGTTAGCAGAATGCTGGGGTGTGGCCAGCACCCTCCAAGGCCCCAGGGAATTCCGTCCAGGTCAGTGCTGGGAGAGCACTGGTCCCAGTAGCACCATGGCCTAGCTGCCTGTTGTGTGGCCATAAAGGACTTTAAGACTGGGTGTGCTAGGAGGTATGACAAGAGCCCCCCTCACTGGAAGGAAGGGCCTCAAGAGTGCTGCCATCTAAGGGGCTGAGACTCTGTCCCCCACAGCATGCCCAACACACCTTGTCCTTGAGCTGCTGGCAGAGCTGCAGGGAGACAGTGAAGTAGACCAGGGCGTCATTGAGCCAGGGGATCACACATTCCACCTTGTGCACATGACTCACCTCCAGGCGTTGTGAGCCCCACTCACTGGGGGACAAGGGACAGGTCTCTTGAGTGGGCCTGGGCCCAATGCCGGTACCACAGGGTGGGGGGAGGTGTGCCAGGACCCCCCTGTGAACTTACAACATGGCCCCTGGGCTATGCAGCACTGCGCCTCCAGCTGGGCGGAAGTTCTGGGTAGAGGCACAGAATCTGATCAGGCTTCCGGAGGCTTTGGGATGGGGTCAGGGTGGGGCAGGGTAGGGGTCCACTCACCTTGGTGGAGTTGGGCTGCAGGGCGTGTAGCTGGTATACCGTGAGGCAGAGCTTGTTGAGGTTGATGTAGACATTGACCAGCAGGTCGGAGGGCAGGGAAGGAGCAAACATCCGCTGGTGGGAGGAAGTGGGGAGGGGGATGAGGTCCCACTTACCTCAGGCTGTACCTGTGGGCCTGGCTTCTGCAGAATCACGGAATGGGGTTCCCAATCCCAAACCCAGATGCTCCTCCCACCAACTGAGGCTTTCAGGTGCCCTGGGATCCTCCTCTGCTGCTGCTTTGGGATCCTGGCCCAGGGCGGCATTAAGACACCTGGTGGAGATGGGACAGAGCCCCACCAAGAAGTGCACAGACAGACTGACCAGCTGCAATCTACAGGTTGGCACCCACGTCCCTCCCAGGGGCAAGCCAGGCCTGCTCTGGGGGCCACCTTAGCAAGGAGTTGGCTGAGGCACTGACCGTGAGGCCGCTGGCTGCGATCTCGGGCAGGGTGAGGGTGGCCGGGGTGGTGAGCCGGTTGCGGGCTCTGGTCAGCTGCAGCATCACAGCATCCATGAGCTGGGGAGGTGGAGTTACAGCTGCTGTGCAGGATCAGGCCTGGTTCCCCACCTTCCCTGGCCCCTACTCCTGCTGGGGTGTCACAGTTCTCACGCCTAAACCCCACTGCCTCAGCAGGGGTGACTGCCATTCAGGAGGTTGTGGTTGGAACCCTGGCATTGGCCCCATGGGGATGAAGATTTCGGGAGATAAGCCCCAGAGCACAGGTTTTGCAGATGGCCATGAAGGCTTAAAAGATGGGCCCCGAATATGGCTTGGGTCCAACAGGCTAGGGAGAGCATCCTGGAAGAGGTGGTGGGATGGCTGAGTTGAGGTTTTGGGTTTTGGCAGGTGAGGAAACTGAGGCTCCAAAGGGTAAGGCCAGTCACAGGGGCAGGGGAGTCACCTGGAGGCCTCCCTCTTTCCTGGGCCACGGAGCAAAGCTTTGGCCTACTCCTCAGTCCCAGCTTCCACTGCCTCCTGTAGGTCACGCAGCTATTGCCAAAGGTGAACCAGCCAAGGACACACAACAAATCAAGGGCAGAGGTGAGATACAAATCCCAGGTATCGGAGTCATCTCTCCCACACGCTGTGTGGCCTCTGTCAGTTTTTTTTTTCGCTTTTCTTTATTCCAGTATTGTACTGGAGATTGAACCCAAGGTCCTCACACTGAGCTGCAACTCCAGACTTTTGTTTTTTTAATTTTGGGCCAGGAAAAAAAAAACCCAAAAAACTGGGACAGGGCCTTGCTAAATTGTTAAACTGCCCAGAACAGGCTCGACTTGCAATCCTCCTGTCTCAACCTCCCAGAGCTCTGGAATTATACGCATGCACAACCACACCTAACTCTACTTTATAAGCAGTGTAGAGTTTCCCAACTAGTACTGTGATGACCACTATAGCAGGAGCTTGGTGCTTGTAGGGGGCCACTTTACCTGCATTACCATGGTTAACAGCTGCTAAAGCTTGTCTCCATGTTACGGGTGAAGAAACACAGGCATCAGGTGACTAAGCAGGTGACTTCAGGTTGCATAGCTCACAGCTAGGGCCAGGGGCTGGATCCTAGGTTGTGAGCCACTATGCTACAGGGAGACACGCGAACACACAGGGGAAAGAGACAGCCTAATGCTAAGCCTGGGCATGAGGGTACGGGACCACAAAGCACAGTGCCAGAGGTCTCCAAGGGCCCAGGCTGGGTCTGGGCAGCTCACCTTGAGGACTTCAGCACCCGTCTTGAACTGGTAGCTCTCATCTCGGTGGGCAAGGAGGTAAATGGCTTGGCTGACATGGTTTCTGGCATCCTGGATCTGAAAACAGCATCCAGCCAGCAATTAGGCTGGATCTTGTGTAGTGCCTCAGCATGGCTCTAGGACATAGCCCAGGGCACAGCAGCAGGGCAGAGCCACACTGGGCCTGACCCTGGGTGGAAGGGCTGCAGCCTGACCCGCCCATTCCACCCTAAACTGCTCTTTTTGTGCTGCAGAAGCTAGGCCTGGGTGGGCACTCCAGGGGCTGAGGCAGCCCTGCTCTCCTCCCTCAAGGAACTAACCTTCTTGAGGACCGAACAGAGATAACTTTAAAAGACTACCCAGCAGGAAACTAACGGGGTGGGGGGCAGGGGGCAGGGGGCAGGGGGCAGGGAGGCAACTCCTAAGCCTGAGACCCCTGAGAGCCAGAGCTGGTGGGAGTTGGTGGAAAGCCTGGGTTTGGTTCCAGAGGCTCAGGCAGGGGAGTGACTTGGGCAGGGGAACATCAGCTGTCCCAGCAGAGCCAGAGGGCCCACAGGCAGGAACAGGTTCTCTGCCCCCCACCCGCACAAAGAAAGCTGTGGGGCCCCAGGTACTGCCTGCTCAGCTTTGTGGCTAGGAAACTCGTTCTCAGGCCAGCTCTGGCTACAAATCCTCCAGGCTAGCCCCAGGGCAGCCAGCTGGGCTGCCCCTGCCTGCCCCTCCCAAGCCTGTGGTTACCTGTTGCAGCTTCCACTGCTTATCCTCCCGGAAGGCCAAGTGCAGCAGCTGGTTGTTCCGGGGCATCTTCAGGTTCACATCCTGATGGGGGGAATGGGATAAATGGGGCAGGGGGACATCTTTATGCTTTTGGCTACAGAGAGCCCCAGAAGGGGGCCCCTGAGATCTCAGCTGGGGGTGATGAAGGAGGCAAATGGGGAGGTCAGAAAACAGGAACTCAGGCCTGAGAGGAGCCACAGAGGCAAAAGGGAAAGGAGACGGAGAAAGGGGAAGGTAGCTGTCACATGATGGCAGCCAAAGGACAGAAGCCATGGAGAGGGACCTTCCCCCACGCCTTGGTGCCTGGCACAGGGTTGGGTAGAGACTGGTGATCAGATGTTGGCCATTGCAGCGGTGATCTGGGGCCAGCTGGATCCTGCCAATGTCCACGCTTCACTGGGTCCAGGAGCTAGGCTGAGCCGAGTGCAAGCAACTGCTTTCCTGGACCGCTCACTAAACCCACACCCCCAGTCCCACAAGAAAGTCCAGGGGTTGCTGTCAGAGAGGTCAAGGATCCTGATCAGAGTCTCGAAGCTGGCTGATGGCAGAGTTAAGCAGGAAACCCCACGGCGTTCCCACCGGCAGGATGGGAAGGGGACAGGGTGCGGGGGACTCACCGCCTGGCTGAGGGCATCTCCCTGCAGAGTCAGCACGCCCTTCACCTGGTCTGTGCTACAACATGCGAGTGTCAGAGGGGGCCTGCTGCTGCCCCTCCTCTCACTGTTGGTTTTCAGCTGGCTGTTCCAGGGTGCACCACAAACCCACCTGTCTGCAGGGCAGAGCTGCAGCCAAGCTTATAGTCCCCAGGCAACCCCCACTAAGGAGCCCCTCCTCTGGATTTCTGCTCAGCTTACCCACAGCTGCCCAGGATGAAGTTCTCCTGCTTGGCTGGGCTCTCAGTGCCTGAACCTGGCAGAGCGAAGCGCAGAGAGGCCTCCTGTGGGAGAGAAGGCAGCCAGTGAAGTCCACTTGAGTTGAGCCAGAGCTCCTTCCAGAGGCCCCCTCCCCCACCCCCGGGCTGGCCTGACCCGGGGCTCAGCTGCTGTGGGGTGGCCCCAGCCTGGCTTCCAGGGCCCAAGAGGGCTCAGATGTGATCATTCCACACTGAGCACCTATTGTGCGTCTCCCACAGGGAAAGCAGGACACAGTGACCTCTTAGCCACTGAGCTGAGGTCTTGGGGTCTGGGGAGCACAGTTTGGACCACAGCAGGCATTGGTTTACTTATCTTCACAGCAGCGCCATTACCTACTTTTGTAATTGAGGACACAGAGGCCCAGAGAGGTGGGGTAACCTGACTGAGATTGCACTGTGGGAGAGGGGCCAGGAATCCTCAGCTGTCAAAGTAGATGTCACTACTTCAAAGAAAGCCTTCCTTTCTGGAGCTGTAGGACTTGTTCTAGGGACAACTGAGGTCCCAGGCACCACTGCACTCACACAACTTCTGGTGTTAGTTGGGTGCTGCTGTGCTGAGGCCCCGATTAATTTTGTTTACCGAGGCGGGGGCCTTGTCTGCACCGCTGCGCCTAATACTATGCGGGCGCCCAGGAAACAGCTGCGCCGCTACTAGCGGCAGGGCCCCAGTGGGAAGCTGGGCAGGTGGGGCACAATGAATGCAAAGGTCCGGGGGCAGCCTTGCGCATTACCTTGAGGATGTCCTGCAGCTGCCTCAGCACTGCATGCACCTCGGCGTGTAGCAGCCAGCGGAACTCCTCCTCCTGCGGGTCAGTGCGGTGGTCACCGAAACCCGCCGCCCGGCTCACCAGTACCGCTCGCTCCGCTGCTGTCGCTGCCATCGCGGTCGCCATGGTCTCAGCTGCGGCCCAGCGCAGTCCCCCGCTCTCTTCCCGACTGTGCCCGACGCCGGCCCCTGCTCTCGGCATCGATTGGCGGAATAGGCGCTAGCCCCACCCCTAGGCCGTCTCGGAGTCAGCAATTGGCCAGCAGCTCACAACACCGGCGGGATCTGGAGATCTGCGTAGAGACATCACCGGCACCTGTCTCTGGGAGCCTCTCCTCCCGGCTCGCACTTAAGGCCACCAACGCTGCCCCGGACCCTGCTACGCTCACTGATTGGCCCTGGGAGCGGTCCGTTCCTACTTAGCCTCCCCATTGGCTCGCCTGGCTACACGCCCAAGTTTGTCCCGCCCCGGCGCCCCTGGGAAAGCAAAACCGGTACTGATGGCCTGCGGGGCCGACCCAAACTTGAGGGATCCTGCGGCACAACTTTATTACCAAGAAGTGTTTTATTTTTCTTGCAGTAGCTTTGTTAATTGCACAAAATCATGTTTTGTTTTTGCCATTTAAACATTATCACACAATCCTATTCTGAAAGACAAATGTTCATTAAAAACAAAGCAAAAATAAAAATTCGCAACCTTAATCACCTAGATTTGTCATTTAAAGGAGGTTTAAAGGAAAAAAAGGGGCTTTCTTACAAGCTTTTTCACAAGTATCACATTTTCTCCTTAAAAGGGAAGGATTTCAAAACAAAGGTGAAATAGCTTAAACAGAAATACTCATAAAAAGAAACTTTACAGAATTGTCAACAATATTAAGACAACATTGACTAACCGGTTTCATTATAGCGCCTTCCCCACCTCCACCCTGTGTGTCCACCAAGACAAAGACAGGCTGTGTTCAAATGAGTTAGAAATCCCAGTGAAATGAACAAGTCTGCCACACCCCAAGGATATCTCCCCTGCCCCACACCAGTGTGGCCACCTCATATAGTTATGTATTTCACTGTAAATTCTCATCTGTACATTGTGACTTTGCAAAACCCAGCCTATGAGGGAGAAAAAGCTGACATCCCTTTCAGGGAGCTCTGCCTTGTTCTCATGGGACATTTTAAGACCCCCCTCTGGCCCTCTATCCCAGGAGAAATGCTAGGGCAAGGAAGCCCAACTCCACCTCTGAGTCAGTTCAGGCCTCATTCTCTCCCACCCAGCAAACCCTGGCCTGGGCAGCACCAAAGAGCATGATGCTGGCTGGAACAGACACTCGTGCCCTGTCAAGAACTGAGCCTAAGAAGTGCTCACCATTGTTCAGGCTAGGTTTGTGCCAAAGACAGGACAAGTACTGTCTCCATGGGAGGAAAAGTGGGAGAGAAGAGTGAAGAGATGGGACATGCAGAGGATTTATGCAGGGCAGGCTGGGCCAGGTGTGGCCAGCTCAACGGCTCTCCAGAGCCAGGTGAAGACTGTGGTATAACGGAAACAGGAAGGAGCGGCCCTCACTCTTCACTGCTCAGGGTCCTGAGGGCACCCTTCCCAAGGGCTGGAATGCAAATCCAAACACTCAAACAGCCTGGTGAGGAACAAGCTCCCACTGCAGGGAAGCAAGGACCTTGGACCCAGCTCAGGCTTGCAGTGCCAGTGGGTGCTCAGCAGCAGCAGAGGAGCCAGGCTGCCACACTCATCCACAGGCTGGCTGCTCGCTGCTCTTGCTGACGAGCCAAGTCCACGTGCATGGGACGGTGGTAGTCTCCTCTCAGATTACAAAGGCCTTTGCAAGAGGTGGCTGCACATCTGTAGTTTAGACGTAAAAATCCTCTTCAGCTGAGGCTGGACGGCCCACAGAAGCAGCTGCTGGGAGTGCGTGCTGGTTCATCCTGGCCCTGTGCCTTTCCCTGCACGGGTCCAGGTAGGGACATGGACACAATGGCAACCTCTGCTGATTCTAGTTCCTCAACTGGAAGGGGTTTGATAAGACAAGCTTGGAAGAAAAAAGCCAGGCAGCAGCAGTTTCTGGGCAGCTTCTATCCTGGGGTGAGAGCGTGTATGTGTGTGTATACATATAACCACCTAGTCCCGGGCAGTGCCCGGATCAAGAGCTTCCTCACAAGCCAATCCTGTGACACCCCTCCCTCCAGGGTGTCAGGGAGGGGGCACTGCTGTGTGCTGTGCTGATGGCGAGTCTCAAGTCTGTATAAAAGGAAATGGAGACAGGTGGACTGGTCCAGAGTTAAGTCTCAGGACCCCAAACCCACATGGGGAAGAGGGGGCTGAGGGAGCTGAGGGAGGATCAGAGGGGTGGGGAGGGTGCAGACGACTTAGTGTATGTAGGCTCGGTACACAGCAGACATATCATTGTCAGACTGGTCCAGTGCCTTGGCTCTTTTGTATACCTAGAAAAACAGAAGAAGAAAAAGACAAGGGAGTTGGTCACAGAGCTGTATTAAACAGTTGGCCTCCATTCCTGCAGGGAGTTCTAGAAAGCTAAGCAGGCAGGTCCTACAGCCAAGGGTGTCTTGAGTATGACTCCTGGCCACCTGACCTTGGCCTCAGCCACTGATTGATCTGCAGAAGGTACAGTACTGACCTTCACCAGTTATGGTGAGGACTAAATGTAATAAGGGATATGAAGTGCTCAGTATTGTCAGTAATTATGGTAACGTCCTCTGATACAGACAACCCTTCAAGGACGTCCCATGTCATCCTCTGCTGTGCCTGCCATCCCCAATGGATCCCTAGAATGGTAGGCAATCAGCAGCCATCCCAGAGGTGCATATGCAATTCTTAGAGTAACCACCAAAAGGTAATTCAGCTAGACATGTGGACTATGCCTATAATCCCAACATTCCAGAGGCTGAGACAGGAGGATGGTTTCAGTCAAGGCCACATGGGCCACATAGTGAGTTCAAGGCCAGCCTGAACTACACAATGAGAGCCCATCTTAAAAAATTAAAACCCAAACCACACCACACCAAACCAGCAGAACCTCCCTCAACCCCAGAAAACCAAAATCAAAACAGAAAATCTCCAAATGGTAATGCAAAGAAACAATCAACAGATAAATGAAAATTAAATTCTAAAAAATATCCAAATAACCCAAAGAAGGAAAGAAAGAGGAAGGGATGAAGATGGGGCAACAAAGAGAAAATGGGAATGGGTGGTGATGCCTGTAATACCAACTACTTGAGAGGCTGAGGCAACAGGATTAAGTTTAAGGCTGGCCTGGGCAACCTTACTGTAAAATAAAAAATAAAAAGGCTTGGGAATGTAATTCAGTGCTAGAGTGCTTGCCTAGCATGTTTGAGGCTCCAGGTTTAATTTCACAGTACCGTACCCCACAAACAAACAAAAAAAGGGTATAATTTTCAGGTCTAAATACATCTCAATATGCACACTAAATGTTCAAGGACTAGTTATTAAGACCCTGTAATCTCTGACCAATGCAGACCCCAAGTTCATTGGCTCCATTGTGAAATCAACCCAAAACTACTTCCAAGCCAATGAATCTGGCTGACTCAGGATGAAGGCAAGTGAGAAACCATCTCAAAAGAGGTTTTCCCAACCCAAGCCGTACATGGAATCCTTCCAAAGTACAGTTAAAAATGACCTTCTATAGCCAGGTGTGGTGGCACATGCCTGTAATCCCAGCACTCGGGAGGCTGAGGCAGGAGGATTGCTGTGAGTTTGAGACCAGCCTGGGATACCTAGTGAGTTCCAGGTCAGTTTCAACTACACAGCCAAGAGACAGTTTACATTTTGAATATATAGGAAGGACTTGAAATAGTACTGAAATCTGAAAAAGCCATGAAATGAGTACTCTGAAATGTTCAGACAAGAAGGGACAGGAGGAACCAGTCGAGGTGGCACAACCCTGTAATCCCAGCACTAGGGAGGCTGAAGCAGGAAGACTGCTGTTGAGTTTGAGGCCAGCCTAGGTTATACCGTGAGTATCAAGGCCAGCTTGAACTACACAGAGACTGTCTCAAAAACCAAACCAAACCACACCAAACCAAAGCAGGGACAGGAAACACAGAATTTAAGGAATGAAAAGATTATAAACAAGTAATGGTGAACCTTTTAGAGTTTTTAAGACCTTTCAATGATACAAACGGCCTATTACAAGACACATGTTATAGATTTGCCATTACTCAAGGTAGGTCCAAGAACACGTATTTCTTACTTTTTCTTTGCTGCAACCAGCCTCCTGAGACTGATTTTTTTTTTTTTTTTTTGGGGTACCAGAGGTCCAACTCGGGTCCTTGGCTTGCGAGGCAGGCCACTGAACCGCTGAGCTAAATCCCCAGCCTGAGACTGATATTTTTTAACATAATAAAAATATATATCAGCTGCTGGACCTGGTGGTACACAATTGTAACCCTAGCTATATAGGAGGCTGAGGTGAGAGAATTGGAAGCCTGAGGCTAGCCTGGGCAACTTAGACCCTGCCTCAAAATAAAAAAAGGGCTGGGTCTTGTAAGCACAAGGTCCTGAGTTGTATCCCCAGTACAGGAAAAAAAGGGCAGGGGGAGCTGGGGATTTAGCTCAGCGATGTCTCCACCTGCCTCACAAGTACAAGGTGTCAAGTTGGATCCCTGGTAACCCCCCCCAAAAAAAGAAGAAATCAAGGAAAACCCCAAATATTGGACCCCCCCAAAATTTTTTTTTAAGAGACAAGATCTTACTATGGCGCATGCCTGTAATCTCAGCACTCAGGAGGCTGAGGCAGGAGGATCTCTGTGAGTCTGAGACCAGCCTGGGATACATAGTGAGTTCCAGGTCAGTTTCAACTACGTAGGGAGACCCTGTCTCAAAAAACCAAAAACCAAAAATCAAAAATCAAAACAAAACAAAACACACACAAAAAAAGATCTTACTATACTGCCTAGGCTGGCCTTGGACTCCTGGGATCAAGTGATCCTCCTGTCTCGGCCTTCTGAATAGCTCAGATTACAGATGTACTATAACGCTTGGCTGGGCAAATTTTTACAGAATCCACTGATTAAAAAAGAAATCAAAAGGGAAATTAAGTGTGGCACAGAAGGAAATTTATTTTTAATGCTCAAATCAAAAAAGTACAAAATCAATAATTTAAGATTCTATAAGGTGTTAGAAATAAGCAGGGTGTGGCAACACATGCCTGTAATTCTATCTGTTGGAGGAGGAGGCAGGAGGGCTGCTGTAAGTTTGAGGCCAGCCAGGGCCATAGTTAGTTCAGGTCAGCTTGGACTATAAGACCCTGCCTCAAAACCAACCAACCAAACAAAAAAATGGGATAAGAAAAAAAGAGCAAAGATGATCCAGATTTTGAATTAGAAAGTGGACTATAATTCTGTCTGAAAAACAACAGAATGAAACAATTCTATACATCTGAGTTCTTCCTTCCCAGCCCAATGTAGTGAAACTAAAATGTGAAAAAACAAAAATGAGCATACAAAAGGTACATAAGTAAAGGAACAGAAGTAATACAAGAAAAAAGGAAATGAAGGGTCCTAAGACTTGGGCCCCCACTTTTTCTTACCTCATTGGCTGCAGCTGCCATTGGTGTTGGGTGGTTGACGGCATCGCCCAGCGCAATGGCCAGGCGAAGATCCTTCTGGATGTACTTCAGGTAGAAATCAGGCTTGAAGTTCCCTTGTAGGATATCTGAGGAGGCAGAGTTACTTACTGGAAGACATCCACGCACGCTACATAAAACCACTTCCACGAGGGCACAACACAGCATCTCCAAAGGCTATAGACAGGATGCTGGTTCCTTGGACACCTAAGAGTCATAGAGCGCCCAGCTTGGGCCCCAAATTCCATCCGTGATGTCTCTAGCTTCCACTGACTTGGGCAATGGACTGACTGAAGGGAGCACCTTTTACATCCTGTGAACCCAGGAAGAGAAACTATTGCGGGATACTTGCCTGACCCAGTTCCCCAGGTCTTATAAAAAGTAAAATGCAAGAAAGGTGAAAGGTGACTTACTTTGGCACTTCTGGTCCAGGAAAATGCTGGCCAACTGTCCCTGATTGAGGATGTCTAAGAGTGTCTGCTGTGACTGGCCTGTGACCTGGGCCAGGGTCAGGCCCTCTGCAATGGTGGCCATGAAGCTTCCTTGGACCATGTTTACAATCAGCATCATCTTGGCTGCATTGCCAACTTCACCTACTCAGGGCAGAGAGCCAAGGTCACACCCCATGAACCACTCAAGTAGGCCTCTCTGCCCTCCCTCAGCCCTGCACCCCGGGGAGCCCCTTTCACCTGCCCCCGACAGAACTGGGTCTTCCTTCCAGGCATGTCAGAGGAAACCTTCCCCCAGGGCACCTGGCAGGGAGGCCATGTGGGACAGATGCTGTCACCTGTGTGTGGTCCCCCCAGCCTCCAGGCCTGATGTGCCCCAACAGGTGCCAGGCATGTTACCTAGAAAGAAGGAAGTCTTCCCCATAGCTTGGAAGCAGCTGCTACAGTCCTCATACAGGCCCCTGTCTCCGGCTGCTAAGATCACCAACATCCCGTCGTTAGACAGCTGCTGATTCCCTGAGACTGGGGCCTCCAGAAAGCGTCCCCCCCTGGACACAATCACCTGCAATGGAAAGTCACAGCTTCTGGAGGGCCTGCCTCTCACAGGACTTTCAGGGAAGGAGCAGAGTGTCCTTGAGGGGTCATGGTTTCTTATCACACCAGCCTTGGGATGCTGTGCTGTGGCCTTCTGCACTGAGGTCCTAAAGCTGACACCTGTACCAAGGACTATGGCTGTGTAGAGTCAGTTAGCTCATCCTCCACATGTATATCACAAAACATTAGTAAGAGAAAAGATAAGGTCTGTGTGTAGATTTCCATTTATTGTGGAATTTTTATAAAGACCAAGGAGCAAATGTGACTATGCCAGCTATTGGCTAAGCATACCCGCCCTCTGGTCACTGCCTGTTCCTGACTTCAACCACCCTCAGAACACACATGGGTCCAAAGTCACTGCTTCCTTACTTGGGCCAGAAGATGGGGGTAGAGGGACATCAAAACTGGTAGTTGCTTAAACCAAAATGGCCAAGTTGACGTATGGGCAGCTTCTCATTTTAAGGCTGGCTGCCACAGAACCCAGTGCCCACCCAGCCTGCAGGAGGCCTCCTACAGCTGTTCAGACTAGCTGTGGCTTTGACAGTGGAGCATGAATACAGACTAGTCCCAAGACTACTGATGTCTCTTGTTCTCTCTCTCTGGCTTTGTCTCTAGTGTAACCAAACTGCATACAGATGTGTGGTCAGCCTGGGCCTTGGGCTCCCTGAAAGGATGGTCCAGAGCCAGCTACCTGGGCCAGCTCTGTGACTGTGTCCGCATCCACCGTTGACATATCCACATAGCACTTCCCTGGGCGGATCCCTTGCAGCACACCACTGGGGCCCAGCACAAGCTGTGGGGACACAAGGGAAAAACAATAGCCCAGGATCCTAGCGAAATGCTCAGGAGCACCTGCAGACCTGAGATCAGAAGCCTTCTGCTTTTCTGTACCTTTCCCGATTAGAAGTTAACTATTACAGATGAACAGCAAAGAGCCACTAAGTAACCAAGGGATAGAAAAGAATTTCCAGTATGTTCTTGTTTATTCTCCCCAACCCCTGACATTTTAAAGACAGAAATTCATTATTTTATTTTGAGGGCTTCTTTGGATTTACGTGAATTAGACTAGTCATCAGTTCAACAGGATGACTACTACGCCTGAACTTTTTTTTTTTTTCGGTACTGGGGATTGAACTCAGGACCTTGTGCATGCAAGGCAAGCACATTGCCACTGAGCTAAATCCCCAGCCCTTGAACTTTTAACACATACAAATTCAGCAACAGCTAAACATAGGTTGCTACTGGTCCAAAGGCACAATCAGCCCCAAAGCTTCTGGCTCTTTAAGAATACCTGGAAGCCTGTTTAGGAACCATCTCAGCACAGACTTCAAGGACCCAAGTAGCTCTCATTCTTCGTTCTGAATTAAAGGAAGCCTGCATTCAACTTATTCAAACACCATTTCCAACAAGAGATGGACCCCGATGGGAAATTTAACCCCCCACATGCAGACACTCACTCAGTATGCAGGGGAGTAGGAGAGGTGGTCAGCCAGAGCTCCTGGCTAGCACCTGAGATGCGGAGGGGAGAGGGGATCCTTACGTCCTTGGCTGCCTTTGGATCCGACACACAGGCGAAAGTGATGTCACAAGTTGAAACAACTTCAGCGGGGGTTCTTCCTAGGCGGGCCCCCTCCTGGATGAACAAATCACACTGCAAAAGTCACAGATCCTAACGTGAGCCACAAGCAGTGCACAACAAACATGCCAACAGGCCAGAGATGCACGACTCATCCTCTTGATCAGCCTTCCAAGTCAAGAGATGAGGCCAGAGCTGAGGACATCAGGGGTTGGAGGTCTGACCTCTTACGGGAAGTAGGCTGGACCTCTTTAGGACTGCCTTGCATTTTTGTGTGCTTGGTACCTAGAATAATGTGCTGCTTCACAGGAGGCATTAAACAAGTGGAGGTTTGCTGTTTGACAAATAGCCCCTCTGTGCTGTGTGGCAAAATAAGTCCATCCGCTGAGTGCCCTACCAGCTCTGTGTTGGGGAAGCAGGGCTCCACCTTCCTAGCTGCTGTTCCTTTTTGTGATGTTTCTGAACAATGCTGCCAAGTTAATATTTGTGCAGGGTCTGAAAGTATTAAACTTTCTTTTCTGAAAACTAAAATCATCCAGAACATGCCAGAACAAACAGATGGTTAACATTTTGGTGCATTTCTTTTTTCCATAGAAATTTAAGGAAATAATTAGAATAATTTGGGCCTAGTATTTTATAAGCAGCTATTATATACTTTGATTCACATTTATTCATATTATTAAGAAAACTGTGGAATATTTCATGGAGAGATACACCTTAATTCACTTAATGGCTCCACTTCAGTTTGATATTTTGCCAACTTTCATCTTTAATTATAAATGACACCAACAAATATCTTTATATATGACGTCTCCATGTTCTGAATTTAGGTCTCTATTTAGGGCTACGGTCAATTTATGATTTTTTTTTTTGTACCAGGATTTTTTTTTTAACTCGGGACCTTGTGCTTGGCAAGGCAGGAGGCTGAACCACTGAGTTAAGTCCCTGGTCCAGTTTTTTTTTTGTTTTGTTTTGATTTTTTGGTACTGGGGATCAAACTTGGGACCTTGTGCTTACAAGGCAGGCATCGGAACCACTGAGCTAAATCCCTGGCCCATTATGGTCAATTTATAATGATGACCTCAAAATTCTCAAATGATAGGCACTGAGTAGGTTTTTTTTTTTTTTGTGGTGGGAATTGAACTCAGGACCTTGAGCTTGAGAGGCAGGTGCAGCTCCACTAAGCTAAGTCCCCAGTCCTGCACTGAATAATTTAAACAACCTATAAGCATCCGAAAATACATTTATTTATTTTTTGTGGTGCTGGTGATGGAACCCATGGGTTCGCACATGCTAGGAAAGTGCTCTACCACTGAGCTACAAACCTAGCCTCAATAAATACACTTAAAATTTTTCCTATTTGGTAACTTAATTGGCCAAAAAATGGCACTTTTTGATTGATACATTTTGCTCATTCCTGACTAGTGAATTTTGTTGTTTATCATTTTCTTTTTATGAGCTATTTTTCCTTACGTGTTTAATACAAATCAGTATTTACCCTTTTCCTGTATTTGCTAAAAATAATTCTACTTGGTATACTTTTTGTTGTGTGGTAATATTATCAAAACAACTACTGATAGCTTGGCGTGGTGTCCCATGCCTGTAATTTGAGGACTCTGGGAGGCTGAGTCAGGAGGAACTTAAGGATGAGCTCACCCTGAGTAACTTAGAAAGACCCTGTCTCAAGAAAAAAAAAAAGTGAGTGAGATGTAGTTCAGTGCAAAGGCTCTGGACTCAGTCCACGGTGCCACAAAACAAATCAAATCAACCGTTGATTTTTTTCTTCAGTGAATGGATTGTTTTTGGCTTGGAAAGATTTACATTAGTTATTTTCTTCTGGGTCTTCATTTAAAAATTTAATTCAGTAATTGATTTGAAATATATTTTAGTAAGTGGTAGGAAGTGACATTAGCATATTCCCAAATTTCTAACCAGTCGTCTGGAACCCATTTTTCTGACTAGCTCTTTGTTGTGTTCCCCTGGTTCCCAGTTACCCTTGTGACTGTGTGTGCCTAAGGTGGTCCAAGGCTGTTGATTCTACTTGTGAGCCTAGGTCCCTGCAGCAGCCTTTGAGTAATAAAGTTTTGATTGTTTCCATCTTTGGTTGGGAGCGTCCTCTTCCTCATTGCTCTTTTCTGGAAATTAAACCAAGTTTCCTATTATTCCAGAAGAAATAGAGGATCATTTTTATCAAGAGCCTTAAAAAAGTTCCACAAGAGGACTGGGGATGTTGCTCAGTGGTTTTGCTACCTGCCTCACAAGCGCAAGAACCTGAGTGCAAGAACCTGAGTTTGATCCCAGTACAAAAACAAAAAAAACAAAAAACAGAAACAGAACAAAAAAAATTCCAAAAGAATTGTCTTAAGGATTAAATGCCACCCCTCCACCCTGGGCATGCTGGGAAATGAACCCAGGATCTCATGCATGCTAGGCAAGCACTCAACCACTGGGCCACACCCGCAGCCCCATTAAATGGCCTTTAAAAAATTATTTAATTTTACTTTTTTTTGTTAAAATGGCTTTATTGCCGGGCGTGGTGGTGCATGCCTGTAATCCCAGCACTAGGGAGGCTGAGGGAGGAGGATCACTGTGAGTTCGAGACCAGCCTGGGCTACATAGTAAGTTCCAGGTCAGTCTCAACTATATAGCGAGACCCTGTCTCAAAAAAACCAAAAAAAAAAAAAACAAAACAAAACAAAAAACAAAAGCTTTATAAAGATGACATTTCCTAAGTAATTGATGGCCAGCATTGAGCTAAGTATTTAGACCATCATTTAACCACAATACCCTGTGAAATAGGTGCTGTCACCACTGTCAGTTCACAGTGAGGACTTCCAGGCTCAGGGAAGAATGTCTCGCTGAAGAAGTAGCAGACCTGTGACTTCGATTTGAGTTTGCCTGCCTGCATCCTAAAATCTCAACTGCTTAACTCTGCTGCCTTCCCTAAGTCAATCTAGGGAGACAGTCATGTTAACAACACTTAGGTTTGTTATCAGAAAGGGAGAATGGCCAGAGATGCTGCTATCAAAGGGAAATGTACTTCTCATGCAAACCCACTGACTTCTCTTCGGTGGCCTTGTGATCGTGTATGCCTAAATTTCCTGGTTATCCTTGCCTTTAGCAACAGCAAGGCCTAAGAATGTCTGAGTCACAAAATCTCCAGCCAATGGGGTTTCTAAGATCTCACTACTGACTCTGATCCCTGAACTGCAGCCTGTGTGGCCACTGGTGCTTGTTTTCCTCAGGCCCCCACAACTCTTCAACCATTTTTTCCTTCTTGAAAAGCACTTTACCCAGCAAAATAATTTTTATTTTGCCTAGAACTTTTGGCGCTTGGAATAGAACTAGGGCTTCTGTGTGCTAAATACATCCACCACTAAGCTATACATCAGCTTCCAGAGCATTTTTGTTAACTCAGTGGTGTCAGCCAAATCCAATACCTCCTTCAGCAGTCACACGTTAGCCCTCATTGCTGCCTGTCACAGGGCCCAGCGACATCCTGCTGTGCACACATGGTAACAAAAAAATGCACAGTCAATCACACCACACGCTCCAAGAGGCTGCACTTTACTTTAGTCTCTCTTCCTTCACCACATGCAAGAACAACAGTGTTGTAGCTTCCTGGTATTCACACTATAGTTCATCTTTTCTCAGTTAGAACTTGGGTCCATGGACTCTCTACATTATAAAAGATTTGGAGTTCCATTTCTGGGCACATATCAGTCTCCTGAAGCTACCACCTAAGTGAAAGGGTTCCAACATACAGTCTGATATAGCAGCCACTGGCCACATGAGGCTATTTAAAATTAAATGAAAAAATATTAAAGAATTTAATTCTGCAGTTGTACTAGTCACACGTCAAGTGTTCTAGTCAACTGTGGCCAGTGGCGTCCATCCAAGACGGCAGATATAGCACCTCTCCATCACCACAGAATACTCTGCAGCACAGCCCTGCTCAGTATGTCCCACACAACAGATACAGTGCAGCTGCTATGAAGGGATCAGCTTTGCACCATCCCTGCTCTCAAATGTACCTTGCGCACACACACACACACACACACACACACACACACACACACACACACGAGAAAAGGATACAGAAACATAACATGAGCTACCTTAGGTAATGGCAGGGAGGAGAAAAATTATCCTTCACTATATATCCCCTGCATATTTAAAAATAATTTTGTTTTGGGCTGGGGATTTAGCTCAGTGGTGCCGCTGCCCCACTGGGAATTGAACTTGGGATCTTGGGCTTGCCAGGCAGGCGAGGCACCACTGAGCTACATCCTCTGCCCTAAAAGATTTAGTTTTAATAACATCCTAAGCTTATATATCCTACCTTTCCATCTGCCTGGACTAAGCTTAGTTTCTGCTTTACCCCATGTACAATGCTGAGTAGAAACGATAGGTAGAAAGTCTCCCTTTTAGTCACCCCACACTCCAAGGCCTGACAAGCCCCACCCTTGATGCTTACTTTCTCTGCAGTCCGGTTCCAGACAGTCACTGTGTGACCCATTTTTAGCAAGTTGGAGACGATGCCGCTTCCCATGAGTCCAAGGCCCAAAAATCCTATCCTGAAAGAGACAGACTGATGAATTCAGGGAACAGGGGTGAGATATGTCAAGAAGTATCCATCTAGGACCAGGGATTTAGTGCAGTGGTACCACACCTGCCTCACAAGTGCAAGGTCCTGAGTTCGATCCCCAGTACCAAAAATTAAAAAGTAAATAAAAGAAATACCCATCTGGCAGCACAAGGTGGGGGATGGGACCTCAGGCCACTGAAAACACCACCTAGTGCACTGACGCTGCATCTAGAGAGTCAGGTACAGTGCAGCCACACTGTACCTTTTCTTACCTTGCAATGGTCTAAAAATGTCCCTAAATACAAAAGACCATTTTTTAACTCTCCATTGCTGAAGAGTACTGCTTGTATGGCTTCGCGGAAGTCTTTCAGTTATGGTTCCCTTCCTGCTTTTGATAGAGCATGTGAGCTTCCCATTTCACTACTGCAGTCAGCACTCATGTCCTCAGCCACTGAAATGGCTTTCCGAGCAGCCACCTTGAACACAGACCTTCAATGCTACTTTATAGCACATTAGAATCCATGACAATGGGCTGGAGATTTAGCTCAGTGGTTCTGCTGCCTACCTCGCAAGTGCAAGGACCCAAGTTCGATCCCCAGTACCAAAAAAAAAAAAAAAAAAAAAAAACCCAACAGAATCCATAACAAGTCACAGGGGCAATGTGTTGCACTGTGGGAGCGAGGCAACCTCCCCAACTGTGAACTAGGATCAGTGGGAACTTCTCTTTCCCAAATTTGGTTCTCCCAAACCTTCACCCTTACCTTACCTAACCTTCCTGCTGTCAGGAGAGGTGAGCACTGGCCCTTTTCTCCAATTAAGTTCTTCTCCATGAGCTTTGGAAACAATCTTTTCCAGTGTATAAATTCTCTTCCTGTGCCTACCTTTCCCATATACCCTTTTACCTAGTCTTCTGTAACCCTGTGACTGTGTACTCAACAGCTCGTCCATTCTGCTTATCTTTATTTCCTGCGTCTGGTTCTTCCCCAAACCCCAAAGCTTAGGGGCTAGTCTTTTCTACGGCTACTTTTACAGACTTTTGTCTTTTCTGGCTTTTGCACATCTTAATCTCCTCTTGCATGGGACAATGACCAAACAATGCCTCTTCTTCATTTATGATTCTCCAACCTCTGTCACTTCCTAAATTTGACTCTATATTATCTTCTCTCTATCTTGTGTTCTGGAATCACCCTTGCAAAATGCTCCTCTACTCAGAGGTTCCCTTAATTCTTGCTAAAATACCCACTGCTCACAGCCTCCCTGTCCCAGCCCACACCAAATTTCTGAATCAAAATTGAAAATGGAACCCACCACTTTCTTCATCAAAATAGAGCCCTTTGTCTGTTATGTTTTATGCCAAGTGTTAAGAACAAGGAGGTATCTTTTGTCATTCACAACTCTCTGGATAGAACAATTTCCCCCATGATTTTAAATCAAGATAGGCTCCTTCTCTTTTCTTTACATTCTAGGAAACCCAGGAATGAAGCTTCTGGACTCTAACATGGTAACTGAAAGTCTCCCTTTGGAGTCAGTGTGGACTAATGGGTGGCAATGCAATTGGTTTGCTTTGTAGTTGCCTTCATATTTATACTAAAAAAGATTTGACAGGAAGGGCATGCCAGGTCTTGGGTAAGCATATCAGGACTTGGGGGAGTGGGGTGTAGCTCAGTGATAGAGTGCAAGCTTTGCATATCAGGACTTGGTCCTCAGTCCTGTCTTGGCATTTCTTCCCTCTTAGTACTGGAGATTGAACCCAAGGTCTTTGCACCATGCTATATCTCGAGCCCCCTCCCCACTTTTATTTTTAATTTTGAGACAGGGTCTCTTTAAGTCACTAAGTTGTCTAGGCTAAGATTGATCTTCCTGCCTCAGTCTCCTGGAGTGCTGAGATTACAGACCTATATGCAATCTGATATGGCCTTATTTTTAGAACACAGTCCTCACTAAACTAATGGATAATACCTATCCCTCCTTTTTTTTTTTTTTGGTTTTTAGAGACAGGGTCTTGCTATGTAGTTCAGGCTGGCCTTTAACTCACTTTGTTGCCTAGGCTAGCCTCAAACACACAGCGATTCCCCTGCCTCAGCTTCCTGAGCGCTGGGATTACAGGTATGAGCCACGACACCCAGCCTCCCGTTATTGGCATAAAATGTGTTCCTATCTCCTCCATTCTCAAAGGGAAGTTCACTACCAATCATGTATAAAATTAGTGATTTCAACGGTACAAATAAAACATGAAATTTTTAGACTGGGAAAGAATTGTATAGAAGGACAAACTGAAAATTCAGACTTGTTATCTCGCTTAGGAGAATATGATTTCTTAGTAAAGAAACCGTTTCCGCCAGGTGACTCTGCAGACACACCTGGCCTACAGAAGAGCTAGGGGCAAGCTCAGGCTTTGGCGCCACAATCTTAAGTGCACACCCAGCCTGGGCAGGGCAGAAAGTAATAGACAGATGCACCAGAAGGACAGGGAAGCAACAGTCCCAAGAGCTGGGGAAGTTAGGAGAATGAGCTTTTTATCTAAACATCTCCCTCTCTCTCTGCTGGGGCTAATTCTGGGGCTTCTATCATAGGTCTACTATGACAGTGGTGTTCAAAGTGTGGACTCCTGACTTGCAGCAGTGTTCTCGCTACTTGCTAAAAATATGAATTCTTGCGGTCTATCCCAGACCTACGAAGACACCCTGGCCAGGGGTGGAGGGCAGCAACTAGTGCTTTAAAAGTTATCAGGTGATTCTGAGGGAGAGGAAACGATGAGAACCTCTAAAGCAGGTGCTTGTGCTTGGAGACTCAACAAAGTTATAGGACCCCTAAACTTATGCCCAGGAGACCCCACTAAAGAGTTATATGACAACCTCTGTCTTCTGCACGTCAAATTGCTCCCAGACAAATCATGATCACTAAGAATCTGAGCTCTCCCACTCTTCTGTTCATTCTCATCAATCACTAGGACATAACCCATGAGGGCCCCTTTGGGGTCACTTTATCTGGCCCAGCAGAACCCAAGCCCAGGAGGCCTCCTCATCAAAGGTCTTACTTTTTGTCTGTGGGTGTGATGCTGCCATTCACAGCTGTGCTGTCTGCTGCTTGGATGGAGGTGGAACCAGTTTCCTAGGGAGAGCAACCACAAATTATGCTGTCAGTCTGCCCACCAGGAGATCTCAGGTAAAAATAAAAATGATTTAGGGAGGCTACTTACCTCTTCGCATATTTTCAGCTTCTTTGTGATTGCCTGGTAACAAACAGCTGGCTAATAAGAAGGAGAAAGCCCATTTATTAAATGGAATGGTTAATGGATCTCCATTATAATTTCCCTAAAGGATTAGGCCTAAAGTGGGAGTTAACATATTTCTTTGTTGTATATTGTTATTGAACTCCAAATGAGACACTAGAAAGTTAACACATATTCCTTATTAAATTCTCTGTGTATCTCTATAAAGCTCTTTTATCTGACCAAAACACTGAGAACTGAAGGCAGTGAGAGAGTCCCATGTTCAGACAGGAGCTGGATGGTCTTACTGGCCTTGGAAGAGATCTTTCCAATCCCAAAGCCATAAACTATCACAGGCTCTTGGCAAGGCTGGGTCTAACCGGTGTCCTCACAGACTTTGGAAATGCTTCTGTACACAGCCACAGTGTGCAGAGACAACCTTAACCTATAAGCTGCAGGACGTGTCCCTAACAGGCTACATCACAGGGACTGTCAGCTTACGATGGCTCATGATGGCTCGCTCCCATATTAGAATGTAAAGGCAACTGCATGTTTCTACTAGGTAACTAGCCGAGTTTTAAAAGCTGTCTTTTGGTTTATTTTTAATCTCCACAGTTCCTGACTTCTTCCTAGGCTTACATGGCGACTTTTTGACCATTGCTCTGGGTGATGTATAAGCAGAGCCTAACTTTCAGACTAGCTGAGGCAGTTCTGGGGGGCACACCCACCTGGCAGGCTAGCTCCTTGAACAAGGGTCAAGAGTCTCACAGGGTCACTCACCTTTTCTGTCTGGCTCAGCAAGAAATGATGGAAGTGAGGATCTGCATCTTTGACGGGCTGAAACCAGAAAACAATGAAATAAAACAAGCTACCTTCCACCAAAAGGATCTTCCTCCTGCCTTTGAATACTCTTTGGGCTGCAGGGTCTCTGTGCTATGTCCTTATCACGGGTCTGGAAAAATCTCACATTTCGCCCTTATAAGTGACTATCAATGCCAACGAAGGGAAAACTGGATTCAAGTGGAAATGGACAGATGTTTCTGCCAGGTTGGTATACACATTATTTCAGTAACACTGGGAAAATACTAAAAAGCACATCAGCATTTTAATATTTAGTAGTCACCAAGCACTCAGATAACCCAGCAGACTATGCTACAGTGATTCCCAGGGTACTTCTGGTTTTGGGGCTTTGACTTCCTTTGTCAAGACAAATCAAGGGATTCACTTTCCTGAGGGTCAGTTCTGATAGAGGAATTGAGTGGTCATAGCCACTCTATCTCCATGGCTGCTCACAATAGTGCCCAGCAACAGGTGCAGCCCACAGCAAGGTCAGGATAATCTCAGGGTGCCAAGACTTGTATTTGTGGATGAACGTGTACTTACAAAATATGAAGTGAAAAAAATAAGCAGAATGATTCCACTCAACCAGAACTACATGTGCAAAAGAGCTAAGTGGTCAGAATGATGTTGTAGTCAGTTATCTCAAACTAGCAGGGTGATGGAGAGGTTTCCTTTTGGGGGGTGGGTGGGTACTGGAAATCAAACTCAGGGCCTTGCACTTGCCAGGCAGGTGTGATGCCACTGAGCTACATTCCTGGCCCTTGGAGGGTTTTACTTTTTACCTCGTGAACTTCTGTATTTTGCAATTAAAATAAGCAAACAAAACCAAAACAGAAGAAAATGGAAAAAGAGGATCACACAGCAACACCAGGAAACCTGCTGACATGGCAGTGGCTTGTCCTATGCTTTACCTCACTTGCAGTTGGCTGCCATTTAAACGCGGCCATAGGTCCGGCCATCATCCCCTTCACGGTACTAGATTCAGGAATAGTGAGGTCCTACAGAAGGAAAGACAGAGCATCAGGACGCTTTACTTCCTCCAGACATGTTCAAACCTAAACAAAACTTCTGGCAAGTGCCATGGTCTATGTGTAAGTTCAAATCAATCCCTGGCAAGGTTCTGAGGACTTATCTTTTGGGAGAAACAGAGTGACGTCTACCCATCAACACAAGGGCAACCTTTCTTCTGGACTCTGGAGATGATGAAAAGTACTTGCACCTAAATTTCATGAGCATAGAGATAATAGTCCCAGCCATCGTCTGTTGTAAGCAAAGTTACAGCAAAAATCTCTCATGGTCTATAATGAACATTAGACAGCTGTGGCTTCAGAAGGAATCTATCATATTTTTAAAAAACAGAGCTGCACGGCGCTAGTGAGATCTGCCCAAATTTTACACCTGTGACATGATAAAGCAGGAGTAGTATACCCAGGATGGTCGCACAGTAGGTGGTCCTCTTCAGCATCATCTGGCTCCACTCTTCCTAGGCGAAGGGCCACTGTTCCAGCTAAAAATCTGCCTGGCTCCTTCCTAACCTTCTGATGCTACTGTGTACCTCCTCTTCCCACTTCCTCTCTTCTTGATTTGATGGCCCTTCCAAAGTTTCCGTTTAGATACCAGTGTGAATCTTGACACGTTCTACAAACTTTCCATCTCCCCTGCCCTCCTGAAATGCTCTTCCCACCTATTCTATTAGGCCAGAACCTCTGGAGTCCTTGATTCCCATTCCCTCTAATCCACTGGCAACGATTAGTGCTTCACGATGGGGTATATACCCCTTCCCCCTGCCATCCTTGCTACTAATATCCAAGCTCTGCTAACCATCACCTGATACTTGGCTGTTTACCATATAAATCTCCATGCTTTCACTCTGGACCCCTGCAGTCTAATCTCCACACAGCAGCCAGAGTAACCTTTTATTTTTAAATTTTTTATTAGTACATGTATGCAGTACACAATTACATTTTTCATGGGGGAGTTGGCACATGTATATAACACATCTTTTTACATACCCTCTCTCTCTCTTCCCAAGAGAAATCTTCTGAAAAGTCAAGTCAGACCATGTTACTTGTTCTGCTGAAAACTAGCTTTCTATCACTTCCCATCATGTATGAAGCTAAAGCTTTATTATGGAAGAGGTACAGGGAGGGTCTATAGTCTGCCACCCCTACCTCACACTAATCTTTCACTCTGTGTCCTAATTCTTTCTTCCTCACCACTCCTTGCCTGCCAGTATTCCACTTGGCAGCCCCAATTCCAAATACACCAAACATGGGTCTGCTTCGTACCTTTGCACTGCCAGGAAATTCTTCCAACAGATGTCTGCTTAGGGCACAGGCTCACTGTGGGGTGCTACTGAAATGTTCCCTTCTCAGTGTGACTTTACTTGATCTCTGTATCTTCCTCCATTAGAATATGACGTTCATTATAATGATAGCAAACACTTCTCTAGTGCTTACTATATGGTGGGCATCATTATCACACTGTTTTGTACAATCTCTCAGGGAATTTGGCTCCCACGTACATTCTAGAAAAGCAAGAATGTTGGCAGTTTTGTCGATTTCATTCCTATGTGGGGACCCATGTTTGGCATTTGGTCAAAGTTTGGTATTTGTTGAAGAAATAAATAAATTTCTTCATCTGGGGGCCTGGCCTATCATGCTGCTTTCTGTCCACATACTGTATTTCAATCTGGCCCATGGCTCAATAAACATTTGTCAAAGAAAGAGGTTAGGACTGGGGGAAGGTCTAGAGCAGTGCTGCACAAAGGAATTTCCTGAAATGATGGATGCTCCATATCTGTTCCCTGACAGAAAAGCATCCAGTCACATGTCATTATGGAGCCTGACACCAACCTAGTATAACTGAGAAACTGATTTTTTTTTTTTTTTTTTTTTTTTTTTATGGAGATTGAACCCAGGGTGTTATGCATGCTAGCCAAGTGCTCTAGTGTGGCTCTGCATCCCCAATCCCCCTTATTAAACATTTTTATTTGAGACAGTCACTCGGCTGCCTAGGCTGTCCTTAAACTTGTGATCCTCCTGTCTCTCAGCCTCTTACTGTAGTAGCTGGGATTACAGATGTGTGCCACTGAGCCTGGGTGTAAACTGAATTTTAAGTTGTATTCAATGTAATTTAAACTGTCATCCGGCTAAGGACAGTGTAGCTCTAAGGACAACAGAATGGGAATAAGGAGAACAAAGCTTTTTATCTATCTGGAAGGAAAGGCTCTGACTTCCAAACTGCTACTCCTTGTGCGACTATGGGATTTCAGGAGAGCCACAGGCCTGACTATGCTATTTCTCTGGGGCAGTCTTTGCTCAGAGTTGCAATTCTTTGCATGTGTGTGTGTGTTTTGGTACTGGGGATCAAACTCAGGACCTTGCACTTGCGAGGCAGGTGGCGGAACCACTGAGCTAAATCCCCAGCCCTTGTTTATGTTTTTGAGACAAGGTCTAACTATGTAGTTCAGGCTGGCTTTGAACTCTCTATGCAGCCCAGGTTGGCTTCAATTCCAGGCATTCTTCTTGCCTCAGCCTCCCAAATGCTGGGATTACAGGCATGTGCCACCATACCTGAGCAGAGGTGTAATTCTCAGCTCAGGTCTAGGAAAGAACAGTACTAACAAGATGATGGGAGGCAATGGCAAACTCTCAAATATAAGTCTAGAAATAAACCCGTCTCACCTGCCTGGATGTAACTGACAACTGACTGCATGATCAAGGTCAGCCTTTTCCACTCATCCTCCTGAGCTATGAGATTATGCCCAAAACAGCACTCACCTGGTGCTCTGCTGAGCTACTGTTCACTGTTCCAGAGAGGAGCTTGCCAGACAAATGGCAATCACTATGGCAACACATACACATCCTTGTAAGGCTACTTGATAGATCGATCAGGTAGGAAGAGGCACCAAAATTCAAGTGCTGGAGGACATATTCCCTATACCCTGAAGATAATGAGCTGAAATGGCTCTCATTGTCCTGTACCTCAGCGAACTCCATCCTCTCTTCAGGACACATCCTTTTACTAAAGACCATACAGTAAAGGGTCAAGAGCAGGCGGAAATCCTGGACTGAAACCTGGCTGAGTGGTGGTACTATCAACAAACAAATAATTCAGACTCAAGAGCAAAGTGTGCTTTTTTTTTTTTTTTTTGGTTTTTGAGACAGGGTCTCACTATGTAGTTGAGACCGACCTGGAACTCACTATATAGCCCAGGCTGGTCTTGAACTCACATCAATCCTCCTGCCTCAGCCTCCAGAGTGCTGGGATTACAGGCATGAGCCAACACACCCAGCATGCAAAGTGCTTTCTGTTGGGAGTGTGGAAGAAGTCTCTAGAAGTAGGACTGGGCAGGAACTCTGGGGCTCCCCTAAAGGGACCATCGACCCTTCACTATACAACCAGCTCTGATCCTTGAAACAACTAAAGTAATGATCAGGCAAAAAAATCAGGTAAAGGAATGTGTCAGTCATAGGGATAGGGCTTTAGTCCCAGCCCCTCCTTTTATCCAAAAGGAAGCTGTTTCTTTCTAGGATAACACAGGAGTTAGTGAGACACTTGCCTCAAGACAATATGAGTTTAAAAAACAGTAAAAAACCTGACAGTTCAGATTTCTTCTGGATCACCAGGGAATAAATTCAGAAGCCACATCATATCTTTTGTGGATCAGATTAGATCACACTTTGTGTCAAGTCTTCTGCAAACTGTAGTTTGCAGTTTTCTATACTTTCTCTACCTCCTGGCTCATGGCACCAGGTAGGGGCACCCCTGTGATGTTTGTTGTCCTGTTTCCTTAGCCTTGAGCTGTTTAACAGAGAGAAAAACCTCTAACCAGAGGCCGCACACTGGCAGCTCACCTGCTTAGCCTACTCAGAGGAATGTTCTATTAAACCCATAAAGTGTTTTTACAATTTGAATTAGCTCCTAACATTTAAAATTAGGATGTTTCACATACAAATATGTGCTTCCAGTTTCTCCTGAGGAAAATCAGACAGGAGATGGATGGAGCGTGACAAGGCCAGACCTAAGCTACGGCCAGCCCTTCTTCTCTCCCCACACACTTGAACCATTTTTTTTCACTAACTGCCTGGGCTTGCTGGTGTTTGAATCTTCCAGCCCTGCCCAGATGTGCTGCATTCATCATGGCTTCCTCACTCAATGTTTCTGCCAGTCATATGGTTCCTGTTCTTTATCCTACTGCGGATCTCCCCTGAGTTCTGCACTCAAGACCACTGGGTTTCTGAGACTACACCCAAGTCTTATTAGTGAGAAGACTGCCCACTTGATTCTAACTGGTCAGTGATTCTGACTCTGGCATGCAGGAGCACATATTCCCTTTATAGAGCAGCTTCTGCCCTTACTCTTCCCCTCCTTACTTTCCCAGGGATCTACCCTTCTTTCCTTCAGGTTTGTCTCTCAACCTCCAGTCCTGTTGAGGCCTTGGCTCACTTTCATCACGTTCTATAAAAAACAAGTGCCAGCAGTGTAGCTTAGTGGTAAAGCACTTGCCTCGCTTATGTCGACACCTTGGGTACAACTGCCATGAAACCCTCCCCGCAAAAAACCTAAAGGCACCCTAAAGCCCCATGGAATGGGCCCTTTTTTTCTCTCTCTATAAGCCAGCTCCATTTCCTGATTATTCTGTGCAAGAAAGCTATCACCATTTTCCCAGAAATAAAGGTAGAAATGGACCTCTTTTTCCCTTTCCACATTTATCTTCACGTAACGAGTTGCCAAGTCATAGGAACACTTCTTCTGATGAGCCTCTCCCATGTTCCTTTCAGCATCTACTATCACTCCCGTGAAATGCACCTGGCTTTGGCCTTCTAATTAGCTTTGAGCCTCTACTCTCTGCCTCATGATTATACTGCCACCTTGACACACAGCTCAAAAAACTTTACAGATCCCCCTGGCTTAAGGAGAGCCGAAGGCCCTCCACAATCCAGTGACAACCCACCTTTATCCTTCTGATCACCTCACAGAGACACACACCAACAGAGCCTGACAGGCTATGCGCTTGCCTTTGGAAAGCCTGCCCTCCTGGCTTGTTAGTCCTCCTAGCAGTGGCCTTGTATACTACAGTGGCTCAGGTGCACCGCTCTCTGGTTCATGTTCCTCCACACCTGTGCATCTGCCTTTTTATGTACTCTGCAGGACTCTTTAGGGAAGTGCTTAATACAGGACTTCACTGGGTGAATGGAAAGCATACTGTTGAGTCCAGCTCTACCTACACAAAAGTAGTCACTAATCCCAGAAGCTAAAGTGATAAGACAAACCTTCTCATCCTTTGGGGGCCGACCCCGCTTCCGGGGACTTTGCTCTTGGGCTCTTTTCAGAGGGGATTTGGAGCCTCTCTCTGTAGAGCCAGAAGACACCCTCTTCTTTCCTTCTCCCATGTTCTTCTTCACCTTCCCTTCTGTCAGGCTAAGTTTTCGCTTCTCATCACCTGAGTTTGGCCTACTTCTCTCCTCACTGGAATTACGCCGACTCTTGTCATCAGCAGAAGTGTGGGATGATGTCTGAAAGTTTAATAATAATAATAACGGTAACCACCACAACAGCTGCCACTGCCACCAACATGTGCTGTATACTGCTACCAGCACATATGTAAATTACCCTCATGGCTACCCTATAAAGAAGGCTCCACAGGTACCCCCACCCCTTACACTGGGGGAAGCAGATTAAAAAAGTAAAAATAAAAAACCAAAAGCCCTTACTTGTTAATAGGCCCAGAGCCTAGGAAATGGACTTTAAGGGAATATATTTGGAGGTTATGTTCCTAAGTTTTGTGTTGCACTCAAAAGCTAAACTACTTTTCTTAAGTCACAGCAACTTTCCTAAAAGACCAATAAGCTACTCAGAAAGGTGAGCTATAGGCATGGAGCTCCAGGATGACAAGCAAAAGGCTGATACCTTAGAAATAAAGCTGCTCTCTCTCCAGCCATCTTATAAGAATAGAGTTGTGGGCTGGGTGACATTTGATCGGCTAGTAACTGTGCAAAGTAACCAGCCTGGTGTTAAAGTGAAAATGCCAGGCTTTCTCACCTGGTCTTTCCCTTTGGTTCTCCTGAGGAACTCTTCCACGGCATCCACAGCTTGCTGGAATCGTTTCCCCTTGTTGATTTTTATCATTTCCTCTTTATGAGCATGATATGGCTTTAGCTGCTCCACTTTGATCCAGGCACTAGCAGAAAACAAACAGAAAGGTATACTGCACACATCAGAAAGTACCAAAGCTCTTACCAGAGCAGAACGAAAACACCCATTTGGTTTAACTGGAATTTGAAAGAGGCATGGCACATTTTCAAAACATGTTATCAACCACCTCAAACTCTTGAACCTAAAGTATTTTCTTAAAACCAGTCAAGTGGAACCATAATAACCACCATTACAAATCAGAACATTCCTCAAGTGAAACCAAATGTGCTGCAAACTGCTTCTACCTTTGTTCACCAGCCTTCAATACCCAACCACACACATATTGCCACTTGATCAGGGCAGTCAAAAATCTGGAGACAGTCTCCCATAATCACTGAGTAGCTTAAAGGCCATATGTGGGTCCCTGAGAATAAGGGCACCTGGGGCATTATGAACCATGCCAGCATTACCACGCAAGAAAATAGTTGCTGCCCACCAACAACTGGAAGTAGATAAAATAAGAACCAAGATACATCATGTAAAGGTACAAGATCCCAATGACGAATGTTACTGTACCTAAAAAGTACCAAGAAACTGAATGAAAAAAAAATTGGAACTAGATGTACGATCTGCCCATTAACTAAAAATCTGGGATGTAAATGCATTTAACTTCTAAAATTTGCTGTTCTTAACAGGTGTTTGTAGCCACTGAGCCAATACTTATTCATAAATGATGATATCATGGCTACTAACCACACAAAGCATATGGCTTGGGAGGAAAGTAGCAGTCACAAAAGGAAGCCTTTAGAAATGGGATTCTTTTTGAGAGTTAATCATGGACTGTATCCCTCTGATACTTAATTTTGCTTTCCTTTTAGCAGTACTATGAACTGAACCCAGGGCTTAACACATGCTAGACATACATTTTATCACTGAGTCACATCCCTGGCCCCCTCTGATACTTAAATTTTTAATTCTATCATTTATATTTAACGTATGAAAAAGAACAACCATTAATTCTGGAAAACCTGTCCTACCATGCAAACCTCAGCAAGTCTACGTAAGCTGGCTTTCTGTGGTCTCCCTAAATGCCATTTAGCTTACAGAACCCAAGTATAAAAGAGAATATTACAGGTGGTGCACACCTGTAATCCCAGCATTCGGGAGGCTGAGTCAGGAGGATCGCTGTGAGCTCGAGACCAGCCTGGGCTACATAGCGAGTTCCAGGTCAGTCTCAACTACATAGTGAGACCCTGTCTCAAAAAACCAAAAAGAAAAAGAGAGAGAGAGAGAGAGAGAGAGAGAGAGAGAGAGAGAGAGAATATTATGTATTTAGCAAGGTATTGATTTATGTATGTTTTAGCCTGTAATATTCACAGGGCTGATAGCACAGTCTTCAGAAAAAGTGGGTCAGGCAAAGGATACAGAAACTGCACTACCTCACTAACTTAAAAGTTCTTACCTTAGAACTAGGGAATATTCACTAGTAACAAAAAAAGTGCCAATCCTCACACACAAAAATAATGCTACCAACTCACCAGTTACTTATTTTCTGAGTGTTGTGCTAATAATATCTGTGATAAGAAGTCAGAACAAACACGACAGTTCCAGGACTGTCAGCCTGAAAACGCAATGTGGCAAATCAGGGCAGGCGATTCATCTATGGCTAAACAGAGTAAAACATGGGGACACAGACACTGTCTCTCTGGCACAGAGCTCCAATCACAGCTGTAGAAACTGATGCTTCCAAGGAAGGAACTAGCCTAGAGCCTGCAGTTTGACATGAATGAGAAAGTCAATGAGCCTACTTATAGGGAAGACACAGGGAATGAGATTTCAACCCCTTATTTCCTGGCAAGTATGTTATTAAGCTGACTTCCATACCTCTCTTTGAATTTATAGAGATTCTAATGAAACACAGGGCAGTCAGGCACAAAACCAGTCAAGCCACCACACTAACTGAGATGACAACCCAGTGTCAGGAGTGGAGTGCACACAGCCATGGTACTCAGGAACTGCCCTTTCCTGAGAAGTGCAGGTCAGAAGCTGAAACCTGGGCTGGGGATTTAGCTCAGTGGTTCCGGCGCCTGTCTTACAAGTACAAGGACCCAAGAACGATCCCCATTACACAAAAAAAAGGAAGGCAGAAGCTGAAACCCACACAAATTGTGAGGAGAAAACCAATAACGGGGCTTTTGTGGAGCCACACAACAGGCTCAATGAGTGCTGGTCGTACCCACTCTTTCTTGCTCCTGCCATCCTTGCCTCTCACCCAGCCTTCCATCAACTTTTGCTTCAGAGAAAATGCAAAGCGAAGGTATCTGTGGAGGAAGTGCCAATAAACCAACACCCATTATTTTTGTCAAAGTATTTTAAACGGATTACTGACTTCTGCCAGAAGTAGTACAGTCAAAATTCTATTCACTTGCAAGAGGAATTTATGATACTACAATGAAATATTCCTCTCTGCAACCATCTCTGAAACACTAAAAATAGTTTCCCAAACAAAGAGCAGCACAAATAAGACTTTTAAGAGGATAAGGGCAAGAAATGGTAATCTATTTAGGAAACCAATCTATTGTCAGGGAAGCGTCCTGTCTGTCACATACGAAAAAGTAAATAAAAACCAGCTCACCAGAGCCTAAAGAATTAACTCTTGAAAGCAAACCAAACAAGTTTCTTTTGACTTCTGAATAAAATTCTCTAAATGCTATGTCCCACAAAACTTTCTTTTTAAAAAGGGTATGCTTTTCAACCAGAATTTTAGTAAAGTACCCCTCTATTTTACAGACACCCTAGCCAGGATGGCATGTAATTGGTGCTTAATAATCACTGGGTAAATAATGTCTCCTATGCACATAGGGGAGGGGGTAAGCTGCCTACCAGTGGGTTAAAGTGGTAGGAGGCTTGTCTTGGGGATCTAATGCAGGGCCTTGAACATGCTAATCAGGTGCTCTATCCTGTACTTCCAGCCCGAAACGACAACTGTTTCCTTCCTTGTAATAAGCTATAGCTTGTCATTTCCCTCATATCCTCCTCCCCAGGCCTAGATGGAAACTGCACCTTTTCAGCCAATTTGCTGTGGGCTGGAAAGTCAGAAAAATCAGGCTTACTCAGGATGTATATGAAGTCTGAGGCTTTACTTTTATGTATAAAGGAGTTAATTACATATTGTTCTGGTAAACACTTAACACAAGATAACTGCCCATTACAGAGAAGGAAACAGAAGGTCCCCTTAAGATATTTGGCTAAGTGGAAAAGCAAGAAGAGCAGTGTGTACAGTATGCTATCACTCATGTGAAGATCACAAAACAATACATAACTTGATTCTGCAACAGTATTTCCAGAGAGACCACAAAAACTAGTCTACTTGAATGGATCAGGGATAAATGGACCCACTTTACTGTTTACAGCCTGATTCTTTTTGAATTATAAATATCTATTATCTCTAGAAAACAGAAAGTCAATATTAAAGGCCTCTGTGTAGAACATAGGCAATTCTGACTGCTCAGAACATGTCCCTATGACTTCCTGGTTTGGAGTTTACTGTGGCCACAAGTTCCAATCTGGTTGCTGGTGTAACTGCACTTAACAGTCCAATGGAGTAAAATTATCCAGGACCTTCCTATAGTCTCTTCACTTTTGAGCAGAGAACTGCTACATCACTGAGATTATCCCACTCAAAATGAATTTTAAAAATTAACATTTTCAAAAGCTTCCACATTTTCTGATCTTCATTGAAAATCATACATGTAGGTATTGTTATTACAGAGATTAGTCTATGATCAATCTCACATAACTTTATATGTATCTTAGCTTTTGCCTAGACGCAGACACCTGGGCTGAAGCTTAAGGAGGGGAAACACAGAGACACCAAGAGAAAGAAATAACACAAGGCCACAAAGTCCAAAGAGGAGAACAAGACCAGTGTCAGAAGACATGGGTTCCTTTCTCATCTGGATTTGGAGAACAGTACTTGATAAACAATTTCTATACCCGCCTTTTAAAATATTTTTGTTTTGTTTGGTGAGACAAGGTCTCGTTACAATGTTTAGACTGGCTTTGACCTAACTTTGTAGCGTAGGCTGGTCTTGAGCTCATGGTGATCCTTGTGCTTCAACCTCCTAATGGCTGGCTGGGGTAAAAGGCATGTGCCACCAGGCCCAGCTGCACATTTGTTGTTGTTTTTGGAACCTGGGATTGAACTCAGGACCTTGCGCTTGAAAGCTAAATCCCTGGCCCCTGCCCACTTGTTTTTTAAACCAATGAAAGAGGCTGATGATTACCAAGGGGTTAAAGATCCAAGGCTAAGCTATTCAGAAACAGAGGCATGTTTAACATACACACACATACATACAAACAAATTCTTTAAAAATAATTTCTGTTAATTTCAAGCAACGATTATCTTTTTTTTTTTTTTTGGTACCGGGGATTGAACTTGGGAACTTGCACTTGCAAGGCAGGCGACAGAACCACTGAGCTAAATCCCCAACGGCAAAGATTATCTTGAAGAAATCAACCAACTGGGAATAGTTCTGCATGTCTGTAATCCCCTCTATTCATGAGGGTGAGGCAGGAGGATTGCAAGTTGGAGGCCAGCCTGGGCAATTCAGGGAGAATCTTCTCCAAAGGTGGTGAGGGGCTAGGGCTGGGGGCTGGAGCTCAGTGGTAGATCATCTGCCTAACAATGCAAGGAGGGCAGGTGACCAACAAAGACTTGCTGAGTAGATTTAAGACTGTTCTGAAAGCCTGGAAATATTCCCAAATGCTGCACTGCTAGGAGAGAAGAATGTAGCTCTCTCTAGGAGAGCGACTGTCTGTTGTCCAAGGCTGGAATGGGAACACTGCTGTCCCAGTCAAACATCCGGAGCGGCAGTCCTCGCTATGTACGTGGGTGTACAGAAACCAGTCAACCAGTGCAGGTGAAAAGAAAATGGAGCACTTATACAGTTCCAACCCATCATGCTCTTCAGCACTGACCAGAGCAGATTTTCCTAGAATACTTACTTTTAGTACTGGACTTAAAACACCTCACAACAGCCAAGCCTGTCCCACCATAGATGTGACTTGATGGAAAAAGCACCTCGGGGCCAGGTGTGGTAACACGGTCTATAATCTCAGCACTCTGGCGGGCTGAGGCAGGAGAATTGCAAGTTCAAGACCTGCTTAGGAAACAGTAACGTAGTGCATCAAAAGAAAAGAAAAGAAAAAAAAAAGAGCTGTGGATATAGCTCAGTGTGAAGGCCTTTGGTTCAATTCTCAGTACCACACAAAAAACCCAAAACAAAATAAAAAACAAAGCACCTCAGGCTGGGATCCTAGATATTTTATCATTTAAACTTTCAACGTCCTGGCCTATTTCTTCATGTGGGAAAAAAAAAAAAAAAGCTGTGGATATAGCTCAGTGTGAAGGCCTTTGGTTCAATTCTCAGTACCACACAAAAAACCCAAAACAAAATAAAAAACAAAGCACCTCAGGCTGGGATCCTAGATATTTTATCATTTAAACTTTCAACGTCCTGGCCTATTTCTTCATGTGGGAAAAACAATCAGAATGTCAACTTATTCATTTCCTGAGTAGGCAGTGGTGAGGATCAGACATGAAGAATGCTATGGAAACTGAGGTGGTAACCTGCAAGTGATCCCTTATTTGCTATCCAGATTCCTGAATTGGTTTATTTCTGGTGGCTTCGAGCACTTGCAAACTAAATGAACACTCCATGCTCCCTCCAGTTCAAACTTTTAAACTCTGAGCTCTGATGGGCCATCACCACTGGCCAGACATGTTTAAGGTAAACTCATACATTTGACACTAACACTTGGATGTAGTCACATGGGGAGCTAGCAAAGTTATACTGAAGCTATTTTTCTCCCTTTGTATTTACATGAGAATGTTTTTTTAAAATGATGGTGGGCAATTCTGTCTTGGCCATCTTCTTAAGGCCTGCCCTCTCTACGAGGCCTAATTGGGTAGGTCTATCTCACACTTCTTATCAATGGGATGCCAACACAACTTGTTTGGCAGAAGAGAAAGACAAAAATCGGGTTTCTAAAAGATTAGAATCATTGTGTATCTTGTTGTAAGTGGCTATCCTTTTTACTCCTCAGGAAAAAGGTCCTGGCTAACACACACACACACACACACACACACACACCCCTACATTTACTTTTTCTATGAGTAGTATGTCAATTTTGAAACTAAGTATCTCTGACCAAATTCTGTATTTCTAGGTCAGACCTTCTCCAACTGTGCCAGGGTCCAGTAACCAATGAGTTCCCACTGCTGGATGGACCGATCATACCTGCCTTCTCCTTGATATCATGCATTAATGCTGAGATGGAACCGAGCTTTTTTTATTTTTATTTTTTCCTGTTAAGTTTATTGGTACATTTGAAGCAAACAATAGTTATATTTATCATTGGGATCTTGTACCTTTACATGAGCAACCCAGCTTTAATGTAGCCCCTTACAGCAGTTCTCATCCTAAAGAATTCACTTGTATCAACCTGTCCATACCACCTCCTAAATGTTCCAGATAGCCCTTGCATTCATCCCGAACACAGGTACATTACATTCTGTTTGCAGTGACCCTAACACAATACCTGAAGGTCACTCACTGGTTCATAAATTCAAATCCTGATCTTTTTTTTCAGTCTGTTTTCTCACGTTAAACAGTCCTAATCTTTTGTTTGCTAGGTCCCCATCTGGAATCTTGACTAGTTCTGTCAGATACCTTAGAAGAATGAATTGACCTGCCCAGTGACACAGTCCAGTTTTACATAAAGATCGAACAATGATTGTTTCATGCTCAAAGCCTTTTTGGTCAAAAGATTACACCTGGCTGACATCCTTGGAATCTACTACTCACATTCCTTTCTTTCTAATATACATCCTACCCCCCAGGGCAGAATCTATGTCTGCTTCCATTTTCCTTACTTACAGACAAGGGCTTCTTATCATTGTTTTGTTTCTTACAATAGATCTGTATCATACCTGATGTTTGCTGAACACCTGTTATATGCCTAATCACACCTGATATAAAAGACCCTACTTTTCCTTTAAAACTATGAGGTAAGAGTAGCATTCACTTAGAAGAATGAGGACCTGAGGGCTTGGAAAGTTGAAGCAGGTCACACGGGAATATCTGAATACACATTAGGTCATTAACAAATTTAGAGCTCTTTTCCCAAAGTAATTTGCTGCCATCAGCCAGTCCGGAGATTTTTCTGATAATATAAAGATACTAAATAAAATCTGCCCTAACACTGATTACTAAGAAAGCATTCCTCTTTTGGAGAAGTGCTATAAATCCATACTCTTTGTTTCTCTAAGTGCCTTGCTACAAAAAAGGTAACGTTAGTCCCACAGTGAATTGATTTTTAAACAGGTTTTATGTGTGTGTGTGTGCTAGGTACCAAACCCAGGCCTCAAAAATACTAAGGACATACTCCTCTGCCACTAAGCTATAGCACCAACCTTTATACATATACATAATACGTGTGCACGCGCGTGCATATATAT